CAGTAGGCAGTATGTTGATTTCTCATCTGCGAAGCAAGTATAATCCTGTATCTACCAATAGGAGTGCGTAAGTTAAACTGAACAAACAGCCAATGATATTCCAAACCCGGTAGTACAATAATCCAACCAATCAGAAGCACGGCCCCTTTGCTCTCATGTCATTGGTTCAACGTTAACGTGGCCACGTCGTTGCAACGTATGATTCACCGCCGTTAAACCTAAGCGTCTCTCGCGTTTTATGGGTGTTATGCTAAACAAAGGCCACCCTATATGATCTGATAAGCTTGACGCCGGCTAATGGTGGCTTGCTCCAGGTGTTGTCTTTAATGAAGTCGCAACAGTGCATGACTGTTCGTATTCGACCGATGTTTGTTGGAAGATTGCCCCTGGTCTTTCATTGTGAACAGTTCTACATTGTTCTCGTATCTTGGTTATTATCATACCGGTAATCATATCATATATTAACCAGGCAAGTGCTCCTGCAATGGTTTCATCTTAAATAGTTTCAACTAAGTGCGCTTAGTGTGTGGGGGGATTTATCCCCTTTTCATGTCAGCAGTAGCTTTATACACTCGGATGAACGAATTTTCAATTTTGCATACCGTGATTGTAAAATATATACAAAATCAGGCGAAACTAAATTATTTATCCATTTTTTAATGAAACCAAAAATAGGTAGTTCTATATCATCAAACAAACGTTGGAGGTTTGGCAATACGTATTTACGCTATGAAGAGATAATTGCAAGTAATAGAGTGTGTAGATGGTGATGATTGTTTGGGATTTTTTCAACCGAAGTCTTCTCATGCTTATGATTGTCCCAATGATGGATGATCGAATGTCTCTAGCGACGCCGCTACACCCACAGACACGTTTTAGGAATCAGGAACTGGGAGTCTTTTCAACAGACCGATTAAAACCTTTTGGGGAGCACGACAATCAGTGAGGTAGTGCGCATGCTTTTACAACGGTAACAATCAACAATTAAAGTGGGAAATACGACAGATTTTTAAATTTACGTTGTCAAAACAGTGTGGGGACCATGGTAAGTTGTGATAGCGTAATGTGAAGATATATTTGATTGTGGTGGTATGTGCTGGTTGTTGTTATGGATTCGTGATCGGAAGAAACGGAAGGCANCGGAAGGCAACCTGTTTGTGAGGTTTCTGTAGGGTTCGTTGACCGACAGGGTGAACACAACCTCCTTACCTATTGGTATGTTCAGCGTAAGAAAACGGCACAGAGACCAGTTCATAGCGTCTTTCAGCTTGCTTTAAACTTCAGAATTGGATGATTGGTATCCTGGAACAACCTCGTTGGTGCACTATCAGCTGGTGAATGAATGTAGAAGTAGTGGGTAATTTTGTGACGGGGCTAGTAGAATATTTATTGTCTTCAAAGCACGTCAAATGCCTTCTGTCAGAGAAATGATCGCTGATTAGTCTGCAAGTTCAGTTCAGTTCAGTTCAGTTTGTACAACCATGATGAGGAGTAGGAGAAAAACAGGAAGGTTGAAAGCAGACTCGAACAGAAAATGGAAAATATCAGTGGTCTAGGGTTGCGAAGTGCAAACGTGCTGAATAATACCTTTTTCGGTAAGCAGACTGAGCAAAACTGATGAACGTGTTTATTAAGGTAAGGGNTTGAGCACTCAGAAAGTTGTGCAAGATGATGTCAACTTCCGCCAATTCAGTGGTAATCAACTGGAACAAGATTCTCTCAGTGAGCATGACTGCTGTGCCGTCAAGGGAAGGCGGACGCTCGTCTATACGGCAAAGTATTCACAAAACACTGTCTCTAAAGAAAACACTCGAGGGTCGTAATAGTAACATCTGCGTCATACTGTTTTAATTATCGATTGAATTCAAACATTTGGAAACCAATATTTCCAAACTTTCAGCAACCGCTGTTTTCTTTTGATTTTATAATCATAATACTGGGAGGCGACTTTTCCTGACCTTTTGACAGCTTCTTCCTGTATGTTGACAATCAACGTTTTGGGTGCGTTCATATTCCTTTAGTCCCCATTAAGAGCGCTCGGTGTATCACCTCAAATTATTCCTAATAACACGATGGCCTGCATGATCTTTCATGATCACACCACATGAAGTTCCAGTTCGAAACGGCGCTTACGCCTTTGGATTAAGGAAGTTGTTATTTAATAATGGACTTGTATACAGTACCGGCTTCATTGATGATCCCGCACTTTCCCTCCCAAAATCTAAGAACTGCAAACAAATGTAATGCAGGTGTAATAAAAATAGAAAAAAACCGATTGACAAAGGAAATTTGCTTGTCTTAGCCACGACGAATGAAAACCAAAACACAAAGGTGTTGACGACAACGTTTCGACCCTCTTGGAAGGCCTTGTTCAAGTCATTCAATCGGTTAATCTCACAAGCAATTATAAGGCGATGGGATGATGACATCGTATAGAACTCGGATGTGATTCGAGCATGCGTGTGTTGGTGATCGTTCAACAGGTGGTTGGGGCGAGTGAAATTGGTTTGTCCTTTAGGTCGAAAAGTATGACTGACAAAGACGTTTTTATGAACGCCTACATCTTCGTGACATTCTTTTTGTATCAGCGCGAGCAATGCGATACTATTTCGAAAATATCAAGACCCCATCTGAAAACCCTAACCAGTCATTAAATTATCAACTCAAAACGGCGGCTGTAATATATCGATTGGCTTTCAGTCAACTAAAGGGTTAAGCCAAAGTTCGAAATTGGTCGATTACTTTTTGAGCGCTACTGGGTGAAATCCGAATGACCCAAACAGAAAAAAATAGGATAAAATGGTGATTTTGCGAAGAGCGGTAACCGTTGTGCTAGAGGTGCTGGTAACCGCTTTCCACGACACATTTCATTATCGCCTGCACCTTAAACATGACCCTGGCGACCATTTGTGCACGGTGATTGATTTCCTCGTTCTCATCCATTTTCTCTCACTCCTAACTTTCGCCAAAGCTTAATATCAAGTGCCCAAGTGCGTGATATCGTTCAATTTGTGCTGTTATTCGTCGAACCTAATAGTCCTTCGAATAGCCCAGCTGCATGTTTCACCAGCCACTCTCTCGAGGAATTGTTTCTCCTTTGTGCATTAGTTCCTTATTCCCATCAATAATTGGTTTCGATTTCCATAATCCATGCCTAATTTGGCTTTCGTTGCTACTGTTCTTTATCTGCATTATTGCACTCCCGATACCTGCAAATCTTTGTTCCTATCAGACTCACCCGTCGGCTCTTTGCCTAGGATAAGCTAATATTTCTGATAACTAAATTCGTTTAACAGGTTGTTTTCCACAAGTCATTCCTCCTAGTCATCTGCATTCAACAATCGCCACATAGCTCTAACACTCGACCCGCTCAGCACCTGCCCGCATGGGTGCGGGCGTCGTGGTCGCACTACGCGATACAGTGAGACGAACGCCAATCTTACAATGCATGCGTGTGATTGAATCGTAACATTCATGTACCACACGCATGGGATCAGTAATCTCCCAAACTGAAGAGAGTGCACACCAGAAGTTTCACGAGCCAGAGAATTCCTACTATAAGCATGCCCATATCGGAGCAATCACTATGTACCATGTTAGGAATTAGCTGAACTGCGTGACTGACGGTAGCGCACCGAGGGAGGTAGGCATCCGCGGCCACGTGACGTTTCACCGAAGTTGAAAAGTTGCGTTTGCTTTATATGCTGCGCTTAATGTAGTTCGGCTCGCTGATTTACGCTATACAAAGATGTTGACCACCATTCGTGCAATGTTCTTCCAAAACCCCAACCGAGAAATTAACTCCACCAAATCGTCAACTAGATCAGACCCAACAGGTGGCAGGCATCCTTCAAGAATTCGGCCTCGAAAACCTTCCAGCGTAAATATTTTACTAATCATGCAACGACGGAGTACTGCTCTTCAAGGCAAATTACCATAAAACGGTTCCACAGTTCGGAAGACCTGGCTCGAAAGTACTGCTTGTGGTTCCTTGCACGGCCATCAGCGGGCTGGAGTTACCTGCGCTTCTCCAAAGATGAATATAAAAGTACCCAGACAAATCGATCGATACACGCCCATCTATAACCACGCGGCTAACCCGTTTCAGGCAATAAAACGCGTTATAACTAAAACGCGCGCGAGCAAACACCAACCGACTCAACCCGATAAACTGGCAAAGAACGAGAAAATCATACTGTAGTGGCCCTAAAAAGGGCCGTTGTGGCGTTCACAGGGCAGCCGAATCGGCGGTTAAGCGCGCTCTCCGCGGATGCGGCGGGCTAGCTGGATATCCTTGGGCATGATTGTAACGCGCTTGGCATGGATTGCGCACAAGTTTGTGTCCTCAAAGAGTCCAACCAGGTAAGCCTCGCTGGCTTCTTGAAGAGCAGAGACAGCGGAACTTTGGAAACGAAGATCGGTCTTAAAGTCCTGGGCGATCTCGCGCACCAGGCGCTGGAACGGCAACTTGCGGATCAACAGTTCAGTTGATTTTTGATATCGACGAATCTCACGGAGAGCAACGGTGCCGGGCCTGTAGCGATGAGGCTTCTTCACACCACCGGTCGCTGGTGCGCTCTTGCGAGCGGCCTTCGTAGCCAGTTGCTTCCTCGGGGCCTTCCCCCCAGTACTCTTGCGTGCAGTTTGCTTCGTGCGTGCCATCACTGTGAACAACGACCAGCGGCAGGAAACGTAGGCTTATATAGCTCCAACAACGCCAATGTGATTGGTCAAACTACTTGAAAGAATGTTTGTTGCTGATTGGTCCAATTAAACACCTGAGATTTTCGCTGGAGAGACGTTTGCGGCTACTGACCAATCAGAAACTAATAGAGATTTGCGGCAATGTTGTTCGAAATTTGGTGATTTGTTTTAATCTACAACTTTTTAAAGTGAATTTAAACAAACTCAGCCGATAAAACAGTTCACAGTAATTCTCTTTGAATGTTCTAATATTTTTCTGTATCTTTGGAAGAATAAGCAATCTACAAAGAGTATATTGAATATTTAGAAGAAAAGTTTTTCATTATTATTTATCCGCATCACCTTTTTCCGTTCTTCGTCCCCCTGTCTGGAAGTTTATCGTTCATTTCTGTGATTATTAAACAGAAAAAGAAAACAGCATTATTGTTTCATTGGTTCTTTTCTCTTCTCTTTCGTGGCATGGATGATTTAAGACTAACCTTTAAGTGATGAATATGTTTCTCGATTTTGATAAAATGGCTGTATTGACCACCTTAGGATAAAAATACACGTTAATTATTCAACAAGGGTTACTTTAAAATTTCTTGCAATTGTGAATATATTAGAACTCTGACACTTATNTGAGTGTCCTTTTATCAGATTGATACACAATTTATGGCATTAACCTCGAAGGTGTGACCCATGTCATCAC